CGTATACATCGCGATTTTTTCTGCGGCTTTGAGCATTCAAAAACAAACACAGAACTAAACACATTGAGCAATGCGTCTCTGTGTCTGGAAATGGAAGGCAAGAACAGCGTGATTTTCAGGTGACAATTACCACGACATGTCAAAATATTTATCTTAATGCCTCAGTGAATGAACGAAACGAGTAATAAAAACTTGACGGGCTCGTCCGGGATTTGAACCCGGGACCTCTCGCACCCAAAGCGAGAATCATACCCCTAGACCAACGAGCCGCTTCCATACACCTTCAACTCTCGCCCCAAAATTGAAGAATAAATAATGAACATTAATTTATTCAGGCAAGTAGACAGTCAAGCAGGTGAACAATTAACAGTCCTTCGCATCGCCAAAAGGTCGGGTTGTTCTTAACAGCTTATTGACTCACGCACCGACGAGACAGGTGTGTCCTCCAATCCAGACGATACAATACAGAATACTAAAATGTGGCTTTGATTTTTTAACTATGGTTAATTTATTCACTGGTTGTACAATCAGTAAATTTTAGTGAAGAAAATCCTTTTAGAGGTTGAATAAAGATCACTGGATTATGACATGATTTACTGTATCACTTTACGCATTGCGTTAGGGTGACATTTTTTGGGAGGGGAGTGTAGATTATTGGCACCTTAAAACAAATTTTAAAAAACGGGTCGTTATAAGAATCCACTCCGCATGTTGTGGTAACATTAAAACCATAAATGTATTCATTTTATATCAGAGAAATGTTTGGAACAAATTAAAGCTTAAAACAAGGGAGGCAGATAAGGCTGCAAAATGCAGTCGGTAGTTTTGTTATGTTGTCATATATAAAAATACTGTATTCACATTCATAGGATAATTGTCCAATGATTACAACTGAGCGTTAGAACATCAGCGCATGACCAGTTTGTCCTGAAGAAGGCTCTTGAGTAAAATTAGACGGTAAGAAAATATTGAGATAAAAACTGACTGTGGAAAGATTAATTCAACAATCCATATATTCACACTGGGAGATACTTGCTTCTGAAGCATTCAGATCATCACCGAACGAAACCTACCGGTGATAGATCTTGGTCTATTTTGCCAAGAAGCCGTGCACATAAGTGTAGAGTGATCGAGGCAAATCATAGTGGAACAAAACGTCCATAATAGGCAAATGACAGGAGAGTTTCAAAATAAGAGACAACATTGACTGACGCCATACTTACAAAATATGGAAATAGGTGTTTTAACAAGTCGTGCTGGTGTATTTTATGTTATGGGTCTTGCAATGTTTTTATTATTATTATTATTTTTTATTATTGTTTATTTTTTTATTCTGCCTTGGTTTGGTTTGAATTTCACAATACAGATATTGCTATCCAGCCGTCAAGGAAAGCAAAGAAACCCGATGGGGTTCAATTAAAACATGATATGACCAACAGACGTACAGATGTACAATGTACACGGCTCGGTCAAAAATGAAAATGATGTTTCTGAAAAGAAACAACTAGGACGAACCTGGTCGAATTTTGGGAGAACAACAGAACCCGATATGGGTCCATTCAACGGTGAAACGACCCATGAGTATCAAGAGAATGATCTTACGAAGAAAACGGCTGTTACTGAGAAGGAACAACTGAAACGTGCCTGGTCGAGTTTCAACCCTAGTGCTGAAAATAGACTTTGGCTACTTAAACATGACTGAGAATTACAGTTACAGTGTCAACGTGGCAATGTCTAAAACCCATATTATATATGTCTTAATAGAAGAAAGTACAAAGATCTCGACAAATAAGACCGTGTTGTCGTCCGGGTGAAGTAATTTTCGAATTGAGGTGACAGGTAATGAATCCATGGTGTGTCCGGTGAGAGATTTCTTTAATGGAACCTACGTCGCATATTGTGATGTTCATTAGGGTACAGTATACTTAAATTACACGGACTTTGAAGCATAAAGATACCATGATACTGGACGAAAGAAAGCATACCCCTGTGGAATCCACAAAAAATCTATTTGTTTCGCTATTTTTACCACGAGAATACAGAGAAACAGAAGGTGAGGAGAGAGGGGAGAAACTGTAATAGGGCAACTATTAAGGAATACATGAATGGACGCTGGTGGAAAGTTGGAGGACAGTGGAAATGGGGAACTAAAGGAATATGTTTATGAACGAGGCAGACCTTTGGAAATGTTACAATAGGGCAACCACTCTCAGATTCATTGGAGATTCACACCTTAGATCTGCAAGCAGTTACTTGAATCTATTGTTATCGAAACGTCATCATATGTCGTCATATGCAGGGCACAGTACACCTAGGCTAAATTCCTCACTCAATATTCCCTACCAAAAGAGGCTTATAGGTCTGACCAATATCATATGCATGTGGGCTCCCTATACTTCTGAGGGCGAAAAAGCAATCAGTTCACTTTCTTCTAGATTTCAAAAAAAAGCCTGTCACCATAGACGATGTATTTTTAATGGGATTATGGATTGATCTTTGACCACAATAATTGGGATACATGAATTAATCTTTGATTACAAAAATTGGGATACATGAATTAATCTTTGACTACAATAATTGGGATACATGAATTAATCTTTGACTACACTAATTTGGTTTACGTGACAATAGTTTACAATAATATCTCTATCATCAAATTACCAAAATAAAGGATCCGCTTTTAGTTTGGTAAATTTGACAATACTCCAAGTTACCTTCAGCGTAAAGCGTCTTCGAGGCATAACTGATTAGTCATACATGAGATTAAAGTCCTTATCTGAGATCAAGGATTTCTAGAAATAATTTAAGAATTTTTCACTAATTCAGATAATGCAACAAAGAATTATCAAAAATGAAAAGCACAGAAAGAAAGGATTATAATACTGTAAGTAAGGTTTGAGCCCCTGATATGTTGTGTTTGTTGTGATTGTTGTGATTGTGTTCGGTGTGTGTCGTGGATGTTCGTTTGCGTCCGTGGATGTCACGGGTTTGAAGACCACGCCCCATAAACCATTTGCACTTGCACCTGAAAGTTGCAGGCTGACGTTGCAGGCTGGAATAGTTGAAATAATTGTTCTTGTACTCTTGCAGGTGAGTGTAATTATATCAAATCAAGGATCAATCCACGGTTTAAATTTCATATTTCTTACTTTATTTATTTATTTATTTATTTATTTATTTATTTATGGTGTTTTGGCATTGTTTATTATATTAACTCTTATACTATTGTTTCTCTTTGTTCTGTCTTCCATGTCTTTCGTCTTACTTTTTTCAAATTTTGTACATGTCATTGTTTAAAATTAATTTGTGTATAATATTTTTACAGCTATTTGTATGAGAATAAACCAATATCAAACCCGAGCTATAGTCCTGTTACGATACTATTGTAAATAATTAATCAAACTGATATTAATCATTCATGAGGTTTAAATAAGCCTTACGCAACACTCTGGAATTCTTACATCAGCATTGTCCTAGATTGGGCACATTCCAACCATGATGCATTAAATTGATTAACTTTGAGTATGACCGAAATGTGATGATATGTGTCGTTATAAGATTCTGTGTCTAATATACAATGTCTAATATTTAATTAAGCTATTCATTATTCAAACTCAGTATTACAGTTACATATGTAATTACACTTGACTAACCTTTGGGTAAAAAAACAAATGGCATTGGTATCTGAATTATTGATGAAAAGCTGACAGTTCAGATAACATACCTGTATGGAAAAGGTTTTTATCTTATCTATTGCGCACATGGAATCTAGATCTGACCGAAGGTAAATATAGATCGCCCAATAAAAACCCAAAACCCAACAGATGCAGCCATTTTCTAATTGCGTTTTGCTTCAAGCTCAGTCCAACTGGAGGCCCAAAAACGAGAGACCGCAAGACACCACTAAATTGTTCAATAGTAGGACCAGGCACTTCCCAAGCAGTAAGTGAAACTGCGAAACAAATTTAGTACAGTCGGATTTCAGTAGCAAGTTTACATCGGGTGTAGAGTCTACATACTGATTTTTTTATCAAATGACCTCGCATGTAGACCCAATGTTCGTGTGAAAAGTATAGGTTTAGATGGAAAAGGGGGGAATTGTTCACATGCTATAGGTGAAAGGTGTAAAATTGATAGTTACATGTATGTATATGGCGTTGTTTTATTGTATAGAATATGTGTTATATGTGTGTAAGGTGAACCATAAAGGAATACCAATGTTAAGTCTGTCTCTTTTTTTCTTTATACAATAACGCGTGAAATGTCACATTCGGCCGTGCGAGTGTTGGGACACATGCATGATTTGAAAGATTTCATATCCATATGCAAGGTACATGCGACCGTGGAAAATATTGTATTTTATTTTTCGCATACTCTTTGGATAGTTTACCAATCGTGACAAAACAGCATTTTGTAAATTCAGGGTCATGATATCACTCGAGCTTAATCAATTTAATGTATAATCGTTGTAATGTGACAAATCTTTGACAATGCTGGTGTAAAAATTGCAGAGTGTTGCGTAACGCTTATGAATAACTTACGAATGATTAATATCAATTTGATTAATTATTTACAATAATATTTACTCCTTTCTTTTTGTGCTTTTCCTTTTTCGTAATTCTTTTTCGCATTATTTGAGTTAATGAAAGACTCCTAAATTGTTTCTGGAAATTCGTTGTGTGTAGGGTTCGGGTCTAAAAATGGATTCGAACACCTGCGGGATCACTAATAAGTCATATATTGCATGGAAGGCACATAACGTTGATTAGATTTCCAGATTAAATTTGGTGATTTATTTTTTGTTTAATCATTTCTGCAATGATAAGATACCAACTAATAATTAATTAATTATGCTTTTTATTGAGACTAAATTGATGTTAAAAAGAAAAAAGGAAGTATTAATAAACTACTAAAAATCTGAATTACTTCCCATTACTTTCAATTTTTTTAATTCAATTTTCTTGATGAAAACCTTACATTTACTGAAACAGCAAATTAAATATACGATTTATTTTTGAAGATTGATATAGTACGTTTTTAATCAAGGTACATGTACATGTCATATACATTGAATATTCTTTAAAAAAAATAGGTATTCATGATTAAAACTTAGTATTAAAAAGCAAACACAAAACGTATTCCCAAGAAATTTTAAGCACATAGTGTCTTAAGTTACAGCATTTATAGTTACGTACAGTACGTAATAACACTTGATTAACCTCTGGATACTAAAACAATTGTCTCAAAGTATCACATTGATAAAAAGCTGATAATTCAGATAACATATGAAATTTTTTTTTATCATATCTTGCCTTGGCCAGGTAAAGTACACCGATATATCGTATTGCGCAAATGGAATGTAAGCCTGACCAAAGGTGAATAGAGCGCCCAATTAAAACCCCAGGCACAACTGATACGGCCATTTTAGTCGTTCCAAATTCATTCCAAAAGGAAGCTCAAAAGATAATAAGCACCACTAAATTGTTCAACAGTAGGCCCAGGCACTTCCCAAACAGCAAGTGGCACTGAAAACAAAGAATGAGTGCTGGTAACCATATGTTGTAAAGCGAATGACTTACGCTTTCACTTATTACAGATAACAATTAAAGTATGGAACGCTGTTTGAACAAAAATGATGAAAGTATCATTTTGACAAGAAAAAAAATTTTGCGAGGTGCTTACATCATTTTCAAATTGTCACTTTCAACATTTTGACAAGAAAAAAAATTTTTTTGAGAGAGGTGCTAACATCATTTTGAGATCGTCACTTTCACCATTTTGAGAGAAAAGTATTTTCTATAAAGTCGTTTTATCATTTTGATAACGTTTGATCATTTTTTATAACATTTTGAAAACTGAGTTTCGGATAAGGTCCAAGCATGAGTAATCCAAATAATATTTTAGATATCTTTAACTGAAAACAAGTCTCTTAGGGATTACCTAACACGGAAATGTTGCATGGTGACTTGCAACATGCAAATGGAAAATATTTTGTAATCATGCAAAGACAATGGAAAAGAAAACAAGTAAATGCGTGATCAGTACTTAGAAATTGAGTTTAAATATTTGTGAAGTTGTATGAAGAGAGAGTCGGTGAATAAACGTTTGAAAGCTCCAGACTGTTGTCGTTTTTCCTCACTATAACACATTGGCAAAATGCCATCTTTAAATTTTAAAAATGATTTGCTATTATAAAGTTTATGCATATATTTGTTGCGTGTAAAAGAATATTTGGTTTGAGGTATCGGTATTTAATTGGGTTATATGTGGGGGGTAGCTTGGGTTACCTGTTGTATGCAGTCTAATAAGTCAGAGCAACTTGTTTTAGCACATATATTACATAAATATTTTAAATATTTTTTATTGAAGCGTGTCATTTGGTGTAAAAAGGAGTTATATGTTAAATACTTGTAGTGTGGCACAAGTACATGGGAAACAAATTGTATTTTTTTCATTCTAGAGAAGAAAGGGTGGGGTGATGTGTTATGTAATTTTCTCACAGAAGCCATCACTGATTTCACTCTACTATATATACTTGTTTAAGCATATTTATTCATTTTATGTAACTTTTCCCCGAACCCAGCATTTGTTGGTCTAAATAATTGTATTGATGACCAATTTACAAAAAGCTGTTGCAGTAACAAAAAAAAAAATCGTTTGTAAAAGCACTTGGAATGTTTCCAATAACCATGATTTAAACAAGGTATATATTGTCCAAAAATAATGATAAGGTTAAAGTAAATACTGAATAAAAAAGTATACATAGTAACAATTATGGTCAATAATCTGTATGACAATGAAATTAATTAATCAAAAAAAGTACTTCACATGATTATATGTGTGATATGGACCTTGTATAGAACGCACTGCAATAGTCACATTATACAAAATATATAAATATGAAAATAAAAATATATATATAAGAATCCATAGATTATTAATCAGATGTGCTGTCCAAAACACTTTCGATCTCTCTTATACTGTCATCATTTGATGTTGGTTAACATGAAGCATCCAAACAGCCTTCTCCACAACGTAATTTTCGATTGTATCCCTGCCTCATGGCAAACCCCACATACTACAGTACTGAGTACCAACCGTCTGAGCACCTACTTTACACCAACAGTACCTGCCACTGATGGATATAGTTTTGCCACGGGAGGTCTGAATCCATAGGGTGTACCAGGGGCTAGATGTGTGCCTTGACTGTATTTTGGCTCTGATTAAATCAGGGGCATCCTTGCATACATTGATTTCAGACTGGCCATCTAGCAGATGCTCATCAGTATAGTGGCTAGCTTGCTTTATCTGGTAAATGTCTGGTGATTAATTATAGGCTGATGGTTTCTTGTTTGGACTATGTACTACATGTAAGTCAGTAGATTTTCACTGATCCTCCTTGACAACAGAAGCCATTCATAGCATTTTGGCAATAAAAAATACAGTGCTATTAAGAATAGTGCTAGTGTGGAAGGTTAAGTCATAAGTACATGTAACAAAACTAGGGTGTGTGCGATGGAGCCAGTTACGCAAATTTTGCATAAGTTGTGCTGGATGCATCACCCGGCTCATCTAAGGGTCTGTTCCCACAACTTTAGATCGATCTATCACCGCGGGGAGTCTCACTAGATTACTGTCAGATAATCCCCCTTAAGTATCCGTCCCCGCCTACTGCAAGCTATAAGGGGTAATTAACTTTCGTGTCCGCCCGGCTGACAGCTATTTAGCGTGAACCCCCAGGGAGGTAGGTCGATCTAAAGTAGGTCGATCTAATCTATGGAAATAGGGTATAACACAATCAAAGGTAATATAAATCTTACAGGAATACTGAGTTTCAATTACTACCAGAGAAACATACTGTCCATTACAAAATAAAAAAAGGATTAAAGTTAAATTCAGTTTATTTTTCCAAGTTTGTCACATTCTTATTACTCGCATAATATATACCCGCGGTGGTTTACAATTAAAGTGGATCCTTGTGCATTTTTAGAAAATCCAAGACGGCTGTCATTTGCCATTGGAATAATGACACACGGGTTTCAATTACTTTAAGAGAATATGTGGTCCATCATAAAGTAGAAAAATAAATTAAAAATTCGTTTGTAAGTGTTTCTTACATTGTCATAACCCCTATATCAAGTGAATTACAAATGTGTGTTCCTTGATATTTGAGAAACATTCAACATTTGCCAGAGAAATACTAGCACAACGGTTTCAATTACTGCAAATTGGTTTAGGCTTGTTTTCCAGGTTTTTCTTTTTCTTATTTCCTGAGTGATATATATCTGGTGGAATACAAGTGTTTATTTCAAGAAAATCCAAGATGACTGTCATTAACCCTAGGAATACTAATGCATTGCATTCCAAAATCTGTCAGGAAGATATTGTTCATTATCAAATAAGGTTTGTTTGTCAGTGTTTCTCACACCCTTATTACCTCTACGACATAAGCACCTGGTGTGAAAACCGCAAGGTGAATGCCATTTGCATTGGGAATACTAGTAAGTCCCCATATACTAACATTCCTTAACCACATCGCAGCCATCTCGTTTTTTTTTTCAAACTTTTCAAAGATAAAAACTTGTTACATATATGCCAGATGTATGTAAAAGCCTCATAGGGGTAACAGAAATATGATAAATACTGAGAAACAGACTTAAGCTAATTCTATTTCAAATAATAATGAGCTGTTTGTCTCTCTGGCAGTTGAAGCCCACAAATAAGTACTTTTAAGGAAAATGGTGGCCATCTTGGATCACGTAAAAATAGCAAAGGCAACATGCTTTTTTCTTCACCAGATTAATATCATAGGGTATTATGGATGTGATAAACACTGAGATACACTGAGAAACTTTTACTTAATTTTAGAATGAATTTTGCTTCTCCCTTCTGTTGTTACAACCCAATTACAGCAAATAACAGCCATTTTACTTGTTACTCTCTCCACACACACACATACAGACATGGAACATGGAAAGTAACAGGGGTACCCACCTATATGTATATTCTTTCCAAACATCGCTGTGTATTTTAAACTTTTTAATTCTCACCCGAAAATGACAATTAAACAGCGTGCTTACCTAACTCTGTGAAGTTAAAAATGATGATTTTTATATGAGTTTAATAAATTTATAAATTTATGAATACAAAGCAAAATACCAATACCATGCATACTCTAAGCTGAAAGCGTGCTCACAAGATCGGCGCCATGTTGCCCATGTCCCATTAATGTTACCCAATGTATGGCACATGGAATAAAAAGTTCTGTTTATGACACTTTACACCTTAAACAAAAGCCCGTGGTATTTGAGGTGGGACCTCAGCCAAGGCCGCGGGCCAGGCCTTTTTGAAGACCGCACGCCCCTATCTCTACTCTTCTGCATTTTGGGGGGGAGGCTATAAATAACTGTGTGTGTAATCTTAAATACAAGTGCTCAAACAAAGAGCCTTTTACTTGTGGTTCTGCTAATGTCACCTTTGAATTGAGTTATAGTAATAGACAAAGAAAACGCATCATTGAAGATCAACTATGAAAGAAAAAAAACGATTTCTACTTGTGTGTTTTCTTCATAGACTAAAATAAGAAAAAAAACAAACCACTAGGATACGTGACGTCAGCTATAAGGCACACTTGATGTTTAGAGCGCTGAAGTTAGTGACTAGTTTCTAGTTTCCAGTTTTGTTTTTCAAAAACGAACCTGGCAACTAGAAACTAGTTTCGTTTTTCAAAAACGATTCTGGCACCCAGAAACCAGTGTCGTTTTTCGAAAAACGATTCTGGCAACCAGAAACTAGTGTCGTTTTTCAAAAACGATTCTGAGAAGCCAGAATCGTTTTTGCGGAGAGAAACGGCTAGGGGTTGGCAGAGGGAATGGCAGCCAGCGGTGTGCGTGTACCGCGATTAGGTAACCCTCACCGCGAAAGCCGGTACTGAGAATAAAATTGGAGTCATTTGACTCTCTAGTCAGATTCCAAAGTGAATATATTATTATACAGTTCACCCAATTATGCTTATGTTTAATAGTATATTATACACAGAAATTTATGAATAGTAAGTAGTGAAATACTGACCCCGTATCAAAACTGGATTACCAGTGGTAATGCTCTCATTTTTCTCAAGCTGTGGTCCATTTCCCATTACTTTGCACGGGTGACATTCGTCCCTACGGGGCGGATCCAGGATTATTTGAGTTTGCGTGGAGTTCGGGCCCGCTTAAGGGGGCAAACGGTGCCATTTGGAACGGTTTAGAGGTATGATTTGGGTAGTCAAAATTATAATTTTAAGAAGGGATATCATTGGTGTAAATTTTCACGATAACAATATTTAAATGCACTTCTTAAATCCGGGCTTCACATGCGTCTCAGCGTGTACAAATGTATGTAAAATCTAATACCACACAGTTAAATTAAAACTAATATAAAAGTAATAAAAAGTAAAAGATACAATTTAACCAAAATATTCTTGAAATAAGGTTTTATTATAGTGAGGAATGACGACAGCAGTCTGGAGCTTTCGAACGTTTATTCACTGACTCACTTTTTCACAGAATCTACAAGTATTTATATTCTATTTTCCCAAAGAATTTCCCATTCTCATATTACAAAACGCTATTCAATATTTCTTAATTAAGTAATTTCAGAGAGACTTGTTTTTAATTTAAAATACTTAAAATATATTTCCGAATTACTCATACTTGGACCTTGTCCATCTCGAGTTTGCATGAGTTTTACACGTGTTAGAAACGTGCAAATCTATTGAAAAACTGGATTTTTCTTTCAGAAGGTACCGCTTCGAAGCCAACATGAATGACCGTGACAAGAATGAAATAATTAACGAGCTGACAAGAAAACTGCAGAGGGCAGAAGAAGAAAAGGGAAATTACGAATTAGCAGTTAAAATCATCACTGCTCAACAGTTTATGAAGCCAGAAGATCAAATCTATTGCATTGCACACCTGGATCCCCAAAACATTTCGGCATTAGTGAAGATTGCAAGCAGTGGGCCTTTAGCACAGGCAGAGGCCATCATCAATTTATTTCATCTCAACTACGTGATCCTTCTTCCGCGTCCTAGGGAGCCAAACAAGTGGCAGAACATAGTTCCATCTTTCGTACGTAACCTCGATAAGGAGAAGATTATATTCTGCGTGGTAGTAGGAGCTGCAGGTGCTGGGTGCGTGTACCTTGTGTTCAAGCATGGAAGTTTGAGCGCAGCCATGCAAGCGGGCAAGACCATCTGTGATAGCGCAAGGTCCATTGCTGAAGATTTTCTCTTTCATCGTATTCCTGGTTGCGTATCTCATGTTTACAAAACTCTTTCGAATTATGTTACTGCTAAACATTCTGTTGGTGTCAATTGTAATGTGCTGATTTGGGATTCCGACATGCGATCTGCTAAGAAGATTTTGCTGATGCAAAGCGATAGCCTCAGCCATGTAGGGCATCTGGTGGCGTCTCACAGTTACTGAGTTACTTGTAGTTACTGCATTATTACTGCAACATTTAATGTTACTGTTCAATACTGTAATGGATTATTAATGAATGTTGATCGAGACATGACATATACTGTAATTGACTGACCACTCATTCTTTAAATAATAAGTATTGGAAGAAGTTATTATTATATTTAGGCTTAATAATAGCATTATTTGCAACTTAAAACTGCATGGTACATATTTAAGTAGAATGGTAATTTTGAATACAAGATATCGGACAGTAAAACATTTTTTTTCATTACATTTAAAATGAAATTTTAAAGGCTTTTTTATTTTTCTGCATTTTAAATGATATTTGGATTTAGTTGGTTAAATAATAAAATTACTGGAGAGTTCACAATGCCCAGGGTGTAATAGTCCTCGAGGCTCTCACTATATTGTCAGTTTTGGCACATATAATATGTGGGCACTTCGTAGGTTATAAAACTGTTCACTCCATGTTAGTAAAATGTGGTGAATTTTATGGTCATAAATGTACATTTTTGTGATGTTTGTTGCAGTGATAAAGTGTTGGTAGTTTGATGTGCTTTTTGATTTTAGATTTAAGGATGTGATATTTTAAAAGTTCTTTTTAAACTGTTGGTGAGGCCAGGGTGCCAAAACTAACATGCATACCCTAGTGTTGGTCGTATTATTTTCATGTAAACATTCAGTAACTCATTCACCGGAATGCCGGTGTGACGTGACAGATAGTCCCACATAACTGAGAGTCCACTTCCCATTCATTTGTACAGGTGGGCCTTGCCCTGGATTTTGACCCACTTAGGTCAAACTAACCCTATAGCCCCCTTTACACTGGACGGCGTCCATTTTGCGTCCCGTAGTACGGCCCCGTCTGAGAGCAAAAAATTATACGTGCCGACAACTGGCCGATCATTGAGCATTCATCCGTTTGCAACCCAAGCGATGCTTGTTCCACCTTTCTACGACCATAGCGATTCCAGTTTCATGGTCGCAGAAAGGACGCCGTCCAGTGTAAAGGGGGACTTTAAGCAATATACCTACAGTGTATATGGAAGGCGGCTTTTCTGCCACACGGACCCTCAGTTTCCTTACACCGGCTCGTTTGAGAAAAGTAATATAGTATATCCATTGGTTAGCTTTAGTATAGATAAGGTGTATATGTTAGATCGTGACTAATTGTAAGGCCAAAAAAGGATGCAGAATTTACTCTATCATTTCCTTTGTCATCTACCGGATATATATATTGGAGAAAGCTGATGCCCTGGCTTTGAGATATCATATGCAATTTCCTTGGTTTTCCTAGAATTTATTGTCATTTTGTTTTTAGTTGACGATTTGACTGCTTCATTTGTTGCTATTTGTAGTGTGCCAGGTGACTGTGAATAACCAGAACTGAGGAGGGTAGTTATGATATTTCTATAAGTATAATGGCACATTGTCCTATTTGTAAACACATTGAGCACTGATGCCTGACGCATAGATTTATGTTACCCTCCACCAGGGCCGCACTTAATATTTTGTGTACAGAAATTAGCCATCTATTTAAGCAGAGACATGAAAAAAGAGCAAATGCCTTACGAAACTTTATTAAGACAATAGAAGACTTTGATATTTTTAAATCCCTTTGAAGACCCAAATTTATAAATCTGTCTATTGCTGTTAGATTTTTAATATATTTTAATAAGATTGATTTTTTGTAGTGTTAATTTTAAATGGTTTCCAATGAGTTTTTTAGATTTAAACATTGTAGTCATTTTAATGATTTTAGTACTATTATCCATTATTGTAAGGCGCCTTGAGGTAGCATGTTAGGCGCCATATGAGTAGCTTATTATAATTATTATTATTATCATTACATTAATATCTAGTGAAAAATCAATCTGTGGCCCTGGTAGAGGGTAGTTTTATATGATACGAGATAACATGATAAGTATTGGTAATTACCGCATTTTATGTTATGTTGTATTTGCTTTGCTTTAAAAAAAAGAGCGTGTGTTGTAAAGTTTTAACTTTCGGGGACGAATTCGTTTGATTAATTTCACAATAGATATGGTCCAAGCATGATTGATTCAAATAACATTTTAAATATTCTAATTGAAAACAAGACTTTTAGAAATCCCCCAACAAGGAGACATTGAACAGTGGGATGGAACATGAAAATGGAAAAATTCTTGTAATCAAGCAAAAGACAATGGGACGAAAAGAAGGAAATGCTCGTTCAGAACTGATGTATGAAGTACGTATAAATACTTGTGAAATTGTATGAAAAATCGGTCGATGAATAAATAACTGAAGGCTCTAGATCGTCGTTATTGTCACTATACACTTTTTACACAGAATGAGTTTCTGTGTATTAAAACAAACATAATTAGGTAAACTAGATATGAAAACAGTCTCTGTCAGTAGAAAAATTACATTGAATGACAAGATCTGCTGTGAGATAGATGACAATAAGTCATCATCCTTTCATTGTCATATTGCCATATTCTGCAACCGTTATTAATAAGCTGTTGTATATATCATCTCAGTACAAAATAGGAAAATCAGTTTCAGTGAAAATTTAATTTACCCTCTATCAGTGCCCAGCTGAGTGATGACGTCAATTTCATACACAAATTATGGCAGGAACTCGGTGATCTTTTACCAGATGGCACAAAGTGGATTGAACCTTTTTGTCTTCGTGTAGCCAGCAACAAGGGGGTCTTGTCTGCATGCTAAGACATACGTTGCAAGATGGCGTCAAAAAGCAACGTAACATATACAAGCGGCGAAAGATACATTTGGAATGCAATGTTGAGTGTTGTTATCGCTCTGTCATAAAACACAGAGTGCGTCTAAAATTTTGTAAATAAACTTATTCTAAATTATCTTCTTAAATCAAAAGTTTGGTGCATTCGATGTGACCCAACATTATGCCAATCAAACCACACTGTTTTGACTTCTTAATCCCGGCACCTAATTTTAATTAAAAATGTAAATATCATTAGCATTACCTACAATAACTATAGGATGTTCCAAAACTATTTTTGCTGTGTTAAAATGTATAATTCAACCATAAAAACTTGTGAGTTATTTCAATGTTGATTTTGTAAAAATGAAAGTAAAATAAGAACGAATGATTTATGTTGAAATGATTTTCCTGTTTTATTGATATCGGCTGTCAAACCAAAACCAAAAATATTCTCGATCAACTAATTATGATAAAAACAAATCGTGAACACATGACAAAAATAGGATAAAATATATAATTTGCTTAACTTTGTAAAATTTTAGATTGTCAATCTATAAATTAAAGCTATAAAATTATTTTTTCCTGTAAATAATAATGTAACAATAAAAAAGTTTATAACATAATAAGGAATGCTGACATAAAATAAAAACCCAATGATGGATAAAATATGTCGACGTACTTAACATACATTTATAAATAAATAGACTTTGTTTTTATAAACCTGCCCAACTATGTAGATTCATATATTTATCACAGTTATATGTCTATCACGGCGAAGACCAAAGTCACATATAACGTCTTCTGGAGCAATGCAGTGGTTGAAGGAATGAATATATGATATTCGAAACAAATACTGATTTTTTTTCAAAGATAAAATCCACCAAAGGTGAAACAAAATATATAGCAAAAAATTAAAATAAAAACTGAATAGATAGTGCTTATTGAAAAGAAAAAAAAGATATAGAGAAGATATAAAACGGGAACCACTGTCAAAAAATACGTGCTCATATACTGGCCGACCACTCCCTGTCATGAAATGTTACAAGTGTGACTTGTTTCGTCTGATAAATCTTAAGTTCAACTAGCTTTACTAAAAGTCACATATTCATCACTGTGAAATCCAAGTTCACTTATGACGCTGTCTGAAGCAATCCAGTGGATTTTCGGTGTCGGTATTCCGTTAAAGGAAGACACGAGGACAGTCGTGTATGCCCCCATGTTGGGCACGTACAACCAGTCTCCAATGTCCAGCTCCGGAAGCTGTTTGTCCATTGTTATACAGTCGTGGGAATTGCACGTTGGTCCCCATAAGCTGCTTTGGAAGACTGGCAGAGATTCTTTGTTCTGGAAAAAAGAAACATACCATAAGGAAACAAGATTGAAAAAATTTTCAAAGTCAGTTTGACCAAGTTAAACACCTCTTTCAGAATTTCTGTTTGATCAACAGTTTATTACATTTAAAACCGGCAAATATGACTACTGATTATGTTGGTCACCCCTTTCTTTTCATTAACTCTAGGGATTACAGTAAAGTCGAAGAAAAGAAAAATGATGACCATCAGATCCATTTAGTTATATGTACACGAATACTGCGTAGTCCAAAGGATCCAGATGCATGGCCTGCAAAATTTCTTTTAAGATCTCTTAAATTAATTTGTAACAACAAGTAAAATATTATGAATTCTGTACAAGTGTTGACTGTTGGAGCATTTCTCAAAGAGATTTTACACAGGCTTACCTCAAGTACATAGAAATCTGGTGCATATTTTTCAAGGATAATATGCAGAAAAAAGGATCCATGAAGACCGTCACTGAGGTAGTACATAAAAGATTTTTCTGCTTCCTCCTGTTTGCTGTATGTTTCCGGCCGCTCCACCCGTCTTGCTATTACACGCAATGCAAGAGTGAAAGCAGATTGTACATAGTAACGTCCGGGCTCTGCAATCACTTTAACATTTTCCTCCTCCGGGAAGTATTCATCCAGTGAATTGTTAATTGCCTTGGCAATGTCAGATAATGATAGTTTTCCTTCAGTCTCATAACCGGGGAATCCACCACCGATGTCGAGGAAGTTAAAGTCGAACCCAATGGTTTTGGCTAAGTCGAAGACGCCGCGGCACAAATGCAATGTGTGCTCATAAGCATAGGTGTCTAAGCACGTGGAGCCAACGTGGAAACTGAAAGTTACAATCATAAATTTGATTTCATGATATTTTTAATGTAATGTAATTCGAGGCATACTCACAGCAAATTATTATTAATGTACGAGCATAACTGTTTTAATGTTAGATCCCAATAATTTAACTAAGAAACTATCAGAGGGGGGTACTATTTTTAAATAATAAACGACATATCAAAGCGCCACATAAATTCACACTTTTTCTTTTTTTTTAATATAAATAAAATAAATAAATAATACAGCTCAAACTATGATGAATATGATGAAAATATTACCTGAGGCCAACTACGGTCAAGTCCAGTTCCTTTGCCTTCAATAAAAGTCTTTTGCAGTTGTCAATGGCGCACCCAAATTTTTGTCCTAAATCCACAACAGCCTTTCGTACTTGAGGGAGAATCCTCAATACGAGTCTTGCACCAGGATAAAGGCTCTTTATTTTCACTAATTCATCTTCGTTATCAAATGTCATGAGGTCGACTCCTTGTTCTGAGGCACGTTTAATTTCCTCGGGATCCTTGCACGGGTTGGCGTATATAATCCTATCTGTCTCCACCCCATATCTTAGAAGCTGTTGGAATTCAGCGCTGCTGGCGCAGTCAAACCCCGCCCCAAGTGCCGCAATGGTCTTCACGACTGGCTCAGTGTTGTTACATTTCACGGCGTAGAAGGGTTTGACACGCGGCATCAGTTCCAACCAGTACTTGTGCTTGTTAACTATTTCATCCAAGTTGGCAATGTAGAAAGGGCGCTGTAAAAAAAACATTAAGTGAATAAAAGATAAAAAATTACATGTACATGTATTATTAATTTATTTTTAGCCAAAATGAATGCCCGGCCAATAGAACTTTCAAAGCAAGTATCATGAGGAGTAATTGCGTGCCAATATAACGTTTGTTTCATTCAGTTGAACATCTTTTCCTATACATACCATATCATCTTCCTCCTGTAGCCTGTCCTTAATGAGCTGTCGCAAAACTCGGTCCCCATGTTTTGCAGTCTTGGTTGTAGTGGAAAAGTGAGCGACCTCTGTGACCTGAATTTTCTCCGTCTTCATATATACCTGCTTTGTAAATAGCGCTATTTAATGAGAGATTGCAGCAATTCAAATATTTGTTTTCTTCTAATACCTTGGGGATCAGCTCCTTATATATATGCTGCAGGACTTGAAGGGAAAGCCCCATTGGCCAGCTGCATAAAGGACGTACCAAAAATTTTAAAATAAACGCAATTTACGTCAGTCGAATGAGGTCAGTGTCCATGCCCTTGTTGATTCCGGTATGTGCCCTAGTTGTTCCTTTTTCAATGTTATGCACAGGTCAGTAATTCTATGTAAGGGCACGCAAACTTTAAACAACCCGTCATACGAGACAGCTGGAAGAGTGGAGTTCCGTTTTTTGGGCCCATTAATTTGTTTTCGGTTCTTATATAAATACAATGAAAAAGAATCTGTTGATCAAGACCTCCACAATAAAGTCACAGTAATTTACAATGTAAATAAGTAAATAAATATGCATTGTTACTATTCCCCAGGTCACAATTTAATGGAGAGAGTGACTAATATAATATTACTGAAATATGATAGTTGATGACACAAACGGCTCTAATATGAACATTTTGTAAACTGGCACGGATAGTCACCGTCGAATAGGATTGCCGTCGATTATAATGAGCGTAATGATCGAAATGTTAGATGCACTTTATTATACATATTATACATATGTTTATTTCCGATGGACAGGTAATTATTACATATGAAGTAAACAAGGACAGATACCGTATTATACACGAAGGATGGTCGTCTAGGATGTGTAAACATCTTTATGGTTTGGAGGGATGGACAGAGGAAGGTTTGGGGGTGGACCTGTCCTTGTGTTTGGTTCCAAATATTGGAAATAATATGTGAAATTTCTTTTTAAGAAAATTTTACTAGAACACTAGTTGATAGCTGTTTCATTTGAGGTCTCACAGATAATAAGGTATGTCTGTAAAATGGGTCTTGTTTTAATCTGTTTGTTTTTTGAATTAGTAGTTAAAAGACAAAAATGTCGATCGAAACTGTGTAAAAAAATAAAAATAAAAAATCTCCCACTAAGTTAATTTGGTCGCATTACATTTGAATAATGTCGATTGAACTCCATTTCCTTGGTAGACGTAATAATTTAGTCATGAACTATGGTAACTTGCAAGAAGCACGTACTACTTCGAGTGTTTTCTCGACTAGGAAAACCGCATAGGAATTAATCGATTTCAAAAGACATCAATCGAAAGGGAAAGAACCTTGAATAGTTTTTGTCACAGGCATCCTGTTAGGCGGTTAACGCTTATACAAGCCCTGAAATGTTTACCGGGAAAAAAGCAAAATTTATCTTTCCGTTTGTTTTCTCAGCATATGTGTTTTTTTGGGTCATGATGTGACCTTGGTACTGCAGTGTCATGCTATCTGTCGCGTGAGGCATGCCGTTCGGACCGCTCTGTCTGTCCAACCAACACAGATTTTTAGCATCGCTGAAGTCAACAATCCTTCCAAGGTGCAGCGTACATGTAACAACTGGTTGTTCCGACAGCTTTCTAGGCTTAGTACAAAAGCAATGAGCGTTTTGCTTTTCGTGGAAATTCTAATACGTTTTCCTTAATTACAAAAATGCACCGTCTAAAACCCGATAACAAATATATTACCGTCCAGAAGCCGTTTTTTGAGTTGTTTTTCTAATTTTTGAGTCACTTGCGTAATGGGGGCTGCTGAATTTAACTGGTGGCGATAAAAAAACTGAAATTTATTGCTTGAAATGGGGTCTATTGTTCCTGATTTTCTCAACGGCTTTGAATTGTTTTTAAGGAAAATTTATTAAAAATTTCAGGAATTTTTTATTTTGCTTTTCATCGATATAGCACACCTTGTGTTTTTGAATGACTTTCATGTTTTTACTCACAATTTAAATTATAATAAAACACATAATAAATGTTTGTCTTTAGAAACATAAGGTTTTATCGCTATTTCCTTTTCCATTATAGCAGATTGTAGTGTGCTATAATAGCAGTTGTTTTATGCAGTTTTTGTATACATCAATCGATCAAGGTGTTAGACTGGCGTGCCCTGTGTGCGTCTGACATCCTAGACATTTTACTTCTTCAGTCTGCCCGATTCCGTTTTCAATTCATCAGAGTATTATATGGACTCAAGTGCATATCTAAAAAGCATTAAGATATTAAATCAAAAACGGGGCGCTTAATGACAAATAGGAGAAATAAGAGAAAAGAGAAAAATAGTACCAAAAATTCGTCAAGCTCAGTTCTTAGAAATTCTTTCCCACCAACAAAATGCCTCACTCAATTTCCACCCTGTAATATTGCTGGTGTTACTAAACTGGTAATTAAAAAGTCCACAGTTCTTGTGAGGTTCCTCTTTTATGTATGTTTATATTTATATTTGACCCGGCAAGCCAGTCTGACAGAGTTTAATGTTAGAAAGGTCCCAATTCAATGGCATTTTTACATCATATCTAAATAATTAATATACCATGCACTGTCGCTGAATAAAATAACTAAAAAATCAAAATGGCAATTAATACAAAAAAACTGTTATTTCACACCTACAGAAAAATACCTTCTTAATTACATTATTTATATATCTTACAATATCATCATAAACATTATATCAAAATATAATAACATAATTTACAGATTTTGACTGAAATTTAAACAATATTATATAACTCAAGTAGCGTAACAGCATGACTCATTATCAGACACCACAAAATTACTAGTCCTCTAAAAATAATGAGATTTAGTTTTAAAAATATTTCTCTGTGTGAGACCAATTTCTGTTGAAAAATAAATATCACAGGACAAATTATGATAATATTATTAGAAAAAAATATCACAGCTATAAAAGAGGTTTTACTAAATAGGGCACTGTCTTTCAGACAGGATTAAGAAAACATTGTGAATGTATAAATAACTTTTCAGAACAAAATTCTGCAATAATAAACCACAGTTAGATTCATTGAGCTACCAGAAATTGTGTTTAGTTCGATGAAGATGAGGTAGGGCAAATGTTCATTCGTTGTACCTGTTACCAAAAGAAACTAAATCCTTCACACAAACTTTGTTGGAAATAAACCATAATTCAAGCTATCAGGCAAAAAGTTATGTAAAGTGTACTTTATGACGTGGTGCATGCCTATACAAAGATTTGGATCATTTTTTTCACATCACACCACCTCCAACATTACCTGCAGTCGTGGAACATTTTGTTCCAAAAAAGTATTAAGTTTTAGTCTTTCAATAATCATCAAAGAAATACATATGTAAAAAAATCTGATTCTCACTCCCAGGAATTATTTGATATAGTTTATGTTGCAATTATCAGCATTAAATCACATCTTGCACAGATTATTCAAAAGGGTTCAAGTCATATGATCAGTGCTGGCCAATCACAGATCAGATTACAGAATCTCGCACCCCCAGCAGCATTGTTGTGGGTAATCTGGAGCGTACACCTGACGGTCATTGCCATACACCCAGAAACGTGTGTTGACCTCCTTCCATGTGTAGTTGACCTCTGACACTGGTACTGCTCTCAAATTGTGTTTCTAAAAGATATTGAACCTTGGGTTATTAATTTATACCTGGAATGTTCATGTTGATGATTCTTGTTATAAGCAGAGGTATACAGAGATGTTGTGACAACTTGGGTCAGTTTTGAAACAGTGTAAATATATTGCAAATTTTCAATTGAAATTTTACAACAGGGAATATTTGTAAATCCAAAGAAAAAAAACAAAAAAAAATACCCTTTATTTTGTATATTTAGTATTACTACAGTACTACTGTATACCTGTTGGAGTTGGCGTTCACTTGGAAATGCTTGACTGTGTTTCTGGACAAGCTGTCCTGAAGCTATGTTGATCTGAGGGACGGGGTACCCCGTTATTGGCCACACCTGAAATTGGAGAAATCGTGAATTACTTACATTTAAGAATACTAGACACGGAGTTCTGAATTAAGTTTGTCATCATGAACTATTATACAAGCAGAACCATACAGAGTAACCAGAAGTGGACAAGGCCATGTGGATATGATTTCAGGAGGGAAATCAGAGCGATAGAGACTGGGAGAGATCGAGAGAGAAGAATTAAGGTAAAGGGGAAACTCAGTAGACATGTGCCTCTATACTACCTGCAACATAGTTTGCTCAAAGATTCCAATTCCTACTGCATCACGAACCAGTGTATCAGGCATGTCTGTCTCCTCCAAAATGTAATCCTCCACATGGTTAGTACTACATTAAATGATACAAAAAAATTAAAATTGCATTATTATTAATCTTTTAGTTCTATTTTATTTATTCATTTAATTTGTATTATTTTTTTTTTGAAGCAAAAACGTGGTCAGTTTTTAATAAAATATGTTTTATGATATTTAATTCCTGTTGATAAATACTCACAACTTGACAGCCAGTTTGATGTAGCGCTCCAGATCTCTGTAGCCATCACACCTTTTACAAGTCACTCTCCCATCCCCACCACAGTGGAAGCAGCTGGAATTATGTAAAAACAAAACAATTTTCTATCTGCATTCTTAGTATATCTTGGCAAGTGTAATGTGACATTTTGTCATAATAAAGTGCTTTTTTGTGAGCTAAAAATTATTTCTGAACCATTTTTCAGAGGAAAGAGATTCAATCTTTTTCAGCTTCCTAAAAATGTACTCACCACTTAGTCTATAAAGACTACTTTATCTATGCTTAAGAAATTCCCTCAACCCCATCATGAGAAAATATCTTCCACTATCAGCATGTTTCTACCATTCCTGGTAATCTCTGAAACTCAGAGTGCTCCAAGATCCCAGTGCACTATCAAACAAACAGGCTTGTTCCATTTTTTACAGTGCTTATCAGTCATGCAGTTAACCATGTGTCTTCCCCCAACCCGGCCTTCACTCCTATTTTTTTCACATTTGTCTTCCTTCTTACATGAATTACCTCTATATAAACTCACACCCATTACCCTCAGTTTCAGAGTTCACTATTAAAACACCTTTGCCC